GACGGCTATTTACAGAACTCGCTTAGAAGATCAGTGATCGTTCAAATTCAAGGGTGAGCCAATTCTTCCGGGCTGCCATGAGTTCTCTTTCGTCTATGTCTACCATTTCGGACTTAGACTTTCTAATTAGTTATTAGTGCATTAGTTTGGGGTTGTATCCCTTCTTGTTTAGACTTGTTGAACTTTAGATGTTTTGGTACATTGACTTTCAGGTTCTAGGTGTATTTTCCACATTGTTTAGTTGTTAGATCTTTTGGAAGTTTACGGGAACTTCAGTCTTTAGCTATTTAAGTTGCTTCCGTAACTTAAATGCTTTAGTTTTTGGTTTAGTTGCTTGGTTTGGGTTGTAGTAGTGGTTCTCTCACCGGAGGGTTAGTGTGGGTGCCAATCACGACGGTCTGGGCAGTGACAAAGTTAGTATCAGAGCCTAGATTCGTTGATCTCGATGTACCAAAACGAGTCTAGTAGAAAAGTGTTACTTTTTCAAAACAGACTAAAATAGAAAAGTGTTGCTTTTTTAATTGTTAATGCTAAATATAGAAAATATGTTACTTTTTCAAAACGGACTAAAATAGAAAAGTGTTATTAGGACGAAAGAAATATTAAAATAAACATTTTGTGTGGTTATATATAAATCATCTTATTAAATTTAAAATAGGTATTTTAAAATTAAATTATTATTGCTAAATATAGAAAATGTGTAATTCTTTTAAAATGAACTAAAATAGAAAAAGTGTTATCGGAACGAAAGAAGTATTAAAATAAACACTTTGTGTGGTTATATATAAATCGTCTTATTAAATTTACAATAAATATTTTATACTTAAAATATTAAATATAGAAAATATGTTATTCTTTTAAAATTGACTGAAATAGAAATTTTTTTACCGAAACGAAAGAAGTATTAAAGTAGTAAATATTACGTTTGGATCAATTACTACTTATTTATATGATTTAACTATAGATATATTTTTTTTACACATTAAGCAATTGCAAAATAAAAAATTACCTTCTCATTATTCCTTCACTACGCAATGATTTTAATATGATTGTTAGAATAGACGGTTGTATGAAAGAAGCAAAGTGTCCAATAAACATAATTAATATATCAGTAAAATCAAAATATTAACGGTCTCATAGGTGGTAGGTTGAGATATATTTTAGACGATTTAAATAGATTAAACTAATAAATAAATGATCACCGCTTAAATATAAATAAATTAGACGGATCATATTTTTCTGAACTAATTTTACCACTCACGTATACCATTTTTTTGTTAACTTTTGCTCATAAGGTTACGTTTTTAATGTTGTGAAAGCATCCGTCAATCAAGTATCTAAATTGATTGCTTCTAAGCTTCTTTTTTGGGGTAAATAAGATATCTAAAAATCTCATAATTATTAATCCAATTAAATTTCAAGATTTCATCTCCTTTTAAGTCCTTTAATGCCCATTCTTTATTCTCCTATCTAATCTTAATTCTTCAATTATTTTATTTCCTTTTTAAGTCCTTTAATGCCCATTCTTTAATCACCTATCTAATCTTAATTCTTCAATTATTTTATTTCCTTTTAAGTCCTTAAGGCCCACTCTTTAATCACCTATCTAATATTAATTCTTCAATTATTTGCAGGAATTATTCATCTAGATCTCTATATCAAAAGCTTATCAAGGTATGTCTTTCTCTTAATTTATGACTTCTTTTTTTTTATAGTTTTTACCCCAATATTCTTCCCAATTCCTTTTTTTTTTTGTTGTGAATTTCATCTGATTGGTTCCACAAAATTGTAGGCTAATAACAAATCTTTAGCAAATCTTCTTAGACGAAAATTAGGGGTGTCAAATGGACGAGTCAAATGAGTTAATAATTAAGCGTATCAATTGTTAGTTGAGATAAATCGGCACCTAACAAATGGGGCATAACTAGCTCGTTCAATTCTTATTAAAATTTTTTAAAAAAATTTCATAATTGGTTTGAGTATCTAATATATTTTTCTATAAGATTTCTCATGAATTAATCTGTGATGTATATCCGCACAATTTTTAGACAAACTGAATTAAATTAGTAAAAAATATTAAGTTGATAAATGCGCGAATCCATGACCTGCCCAAACTTTAGGATCGAATTATATAAAGAATGTTAAAAATTGCAAGTTGCTTTTAGACAAATAGTAATTTCTCTGGCCATCCATGTTGAGTGACCGTCCATCACTCCGATAAATCCTTCACATTTTTGATTGATTTTAGGGATTCAATAATTAAATTGAGAATTGTTTAAAGACTGTGCTTTGATGTGTCTACCTATACAACATGTGCATGATAATAATTATTTTTTGGTGTAGAGTAGACTACTAATTTGTTTTAGTGTGTGTTAACATAATGATTAGCCTTGACCAAAACTTTTTAATTAAATGTAAAAAGTTACTTACAACTTACTTTAGTATGTATATGAAGTATTTACAATTTTATGAATTAATTATATCGTGTATTGATCGAGTCTTCAAATTTAATAGTGGGAGTGTCAATAAAAAAATTTGAATAAGATTTTAAGATAAATAGAAGAAAAATAGAGTACATATTCTTAAAGTTTTGTTAGTACAAAGTACAATGAAATTAATGTGAGATTAGATGAGATTGTGGTGATTAAATGTTGATAATTACGATATCTTGACTCAATAATATTGAAAAATGATTTGACAGATAATTAAAATGTAATACACATAATTAGAATAGAATGATAAAAACAGAAAGTACAATTAAGGAGATTATTGTTATGTGATTGAAGTATATCACCAAATTTAACGAAAAATTCTTAGGAATATTGATTGTAAGTTCAACAATGTACTTACGTGATAGTGGATATTAAGCCACATAAGGTTAACCGATTTATGTTATTTTTTCAATAAATACGTAGATTTTTATTTAAGTGTATAACCGTTCCGAACAATTGGAATGATCTTTCTAATTTATGAAAAAAATAGAAAAAAATTCGAACCGAACCGAATAACTTTACATGTAAATATATTTTATACATTAACAATATGTTAACATAAAATATATAAATATAAAAATAACATAGGTCTTAGGTCTCTAGTGACTAGACAACTTTGGGTCTTTGCTCTTTCATTAACCTTTACTTAATTAAGTTTAAAATTAAAAGATATTGTAATAGATACTCTATCAAACAATACGGTAATATGGTTTTACATTATTGTCTTCTTGATGAAGAATTAAAGTGCTTCTTCAAGAACATATTTGCGAAAGAAATACTTTAATAGTAGTATATTTTGAGGTGATATTTTAAAAGTAAAAAAAACGAAAATTAATCGAACCGTACCGATACCGAAGAGAAATCGATATGATTGGGATGGTTTTAAAAAAATGTAATTTTGGTTATATATTATAAAATAACTGAAAAATTGGGATGATATAACTTTAAAAAAATAATTGACCGAACCACACCATTGACACCCCTAGATGAGACTGCTTTACTCTTAATTAGATATCTCGAATTCTTTAAGTTTTTCGGCACGATCATTGCGATCGAAAACAAATCATAGAACTACTATAGACTATAGAGTATGGATTAATTAATTGTAGCCAAATTAAATACATTCTAAGAAATCGGCAGCCGTTTATTGACCCAAAAAATTGCTTTTATACATTTCTTCATTTTGTTTCACATGACTTGTTCTCTTTGTATATTTATTAATCCACCTATATTCACATGCACTAAGAAATGGTCTTCTTATTACCCTATACCTCTTCGAATAATCTTTTCCTAAAAAAGTTGCATAATTCTAGAATGCATGAACATATTTCAATATTAGGATTTTTAAATTTTAAATCCGCCTCAGTTATTCTATGAATAACTGACTATACAGATACGAAACTTTTAGGTAGCCATGCAAAAAACTCAAACTCAAAAACTAGTATTAAAAGAAAGTCAAACATTGCTAAACCAATGTCAATCTCAAATTTTTTGTAATTAATATGTACACATTACAATTATTTGACTAAACTTTAGAATTAAATTGAATTAAAATTAATTTAATAGTTTAAATTTAAAAATTGGATGTTCGAAGACTATACAAAAATACTATAAATTGCAATTATTCTCATATTAATATAATTAAAAAATACATCTTAAAATGTTGATCAATTTATACTGTTTAACTCTCGAAAAGTGAGAAGTAAAAGTGAACCGAGAGAATATATATACATGAGTTACATTTATTATTAGTATGTATAGCTGGTTTGTTAGTTCTTATAGTCTTGAATAATTATAAATGATTCTCCATTCTCTATGTGAAAAGTTGTGTTACATGGCACATTAAATGTTCTCTTTTCAAATGTAATATTATTGAAAGGTACATTTCCCCTATTTTTTTCCCTACATATTAATTGTATGTTCAAAGTAGGTTTTTTTTCTCTCTTTAATTTCTAGATGTGAGAGATTCATAAAAGTAAAATACTAAGCAGTTAAACTTTGAATTGATGTCCAATTAATAAATGTGATGTCTTATAAACTGAAATCTACCATGGTCCATTAATGTTTAAACTGAAAAAAAAAAGAAATATATATATTATACCTTCTTCCTTTGAAGCTAATTGACTATTAGATGTGATTAATGTGACAAACTCAAAATTTAAACGTTATAAATTTTGTGAATTAAGATATTGAATTTTGATATGTATATCATCATTTTATGATTTAATCAAAACATAGAGTTTTGCCGAAACTGGAGAATTTAGAGGTGAGAGTTATTAGGTGCAAATTTTAATCATGATATTAATTAATTAAGTGAACTCTGAGAATTTGTATATTATAAAAGGGTTGACCAAAAATTCTTTTAAAAATAATTAATCATATCACACTCATTGTTTCTTGTATATGTATGTATATATAAAGTCAAAAAGACTGCAAATTATACCAAGCCTAAATACTGTATATAATTATATCAAACTTTCTTGCTTTTTTTAGGATGTCAAAGGCTTCACCAATTTGGCTGCCTATATTCTTCTTATTTGCTCAACTATTTCATGCATCACAAGCTGATCTTGGAACTGCCAGCCAGTATAAGCCACCATATACACGTAAGTTACAAATAAATTAACTTTTCGCTCGTTAGTTCACGAAACATCTTGGATTACATTACAACATCTAAAGAAATATTGTAATGTAGATAACCTACCTACATTACAAGCGGGGGCCAGGTGTAATGTATACATCATATCACGTTTGTCTATATTAGTCTTAGAGTGAAAATTCATGTAATCGACTTTAAATTTGACTCGTTTTATTCAGATCTCCTTAAACCTAATTATTAATCACCCCTTGTATTTGTCTATTTTACAACCATTACCACCTCAAACAATAGATGGTCCCAATTATATCCATGTAGTAATTGACTTTTTTCTATTGATCGAAAAGTGAAACATGACAACTAATATATTGTTGGCGCAGCGACGGAGTGTTTTGGGAATGATCCAACACAATTCCCATCAAGCAACTTCTTTGCAGCAGCAGGGGAAGGAATATGGGACAATGGAGCAGCATGTGGAAGACAATATTTGATCAGTTGTATTAATTCAGTGTTACCTAAAGCATGTAAAGCTGGAGAAACAATTCAAATAAAGATAGTTGATAGGGCAAAAACATCACAATCAAGACCAACTAAAGAAGGAACCACCATGGTTCTTTCTAATGCTGCTTTAGCTGCCATTGCTCTTCCAAATACACCTTCACTCAATATTGATTTCAGACAGTAAGTAATATTATTTTATATTTCCTAGATCCAATTTATATGCTAAATTCATGTATCACTACAACAAAAACAACTTTTAGCAGCATGCACATGGAGTTAAAACTTTTACTGACATTAGTTAATTGTCATTGGATCCAATGTCGATATAGACTCTAGGGACATTTACAAAGAGTGTTAATTGTTTTTAAAAAAACATATTTAGCGATGATTAAGCTATTATCATTAACTAATTGCTATTAAAAATTATTTTTAATGTACTGTATTTTGATACGCATGTAGATTTCCGCACCTGATCAAGGGGTGTAGTGTAGGCAACCTATTACCCTATCCTGACATACACAACAATAAAACTCGATTTGACGATAAAAACTAGTTTATCACTATATTTTGTTTTTTTTTATATATAATGATAAGCATTATTGGTTGATTCTCAAATTTAAAACCTGTGACCTATATCGTTGCTCCAAGATTTTCCTTCATGCTAAATTCACGTTCATTCTCATAAATTTAATGTATTTAACTTATATATCAACTGGCAAATTAATGAAAATTTTACACTATCAGTGCGACTTACCTGACATAGAATGTTTATTTTTGTTGTTGCATGTTACTAATTTCAATTAGTATGGATAATTGTCTATAATTATTTCTTAAATATCATATATATCTTGTTAAAAAAAGAAAATAAAAGAAATTTGTATATTATGAAACTGATGGATATGAACTGTCTGCTTTATTATTGCAGGGTGTAGAAATATTGGTACAGGACGTGGGAGTCATGACATTCTATATATTCTAGAAAATCTGACTAATTATATCTATAATATTCTAGAATGAATCTTTGATTAATCCGTCAGTTATTAATATTAGTCATTGACTAATTATACGTTGAATCGACAAAATTTGTCAATAATGTAAACGAACAAAATATTGATTAGCAGCTATTTAAGAAAATTGGGACACCTTCATATGCAGGCAAATGTCTTTATCTTATTTATTTATCTTATACACAAATTGTTTTGTTTTATAGTACTCCTTAAATGGTCACTATCTACGTATTCATTGAGGAGAAATATTTAATTGATGTTGTGCAAGTTTGTAAATATCAATTCAGATAGTTTGACTTTTAAATTAGAATATTTTACGTGTTTTTGTTTGATCAGATTATTTTTATATCAATATGGATTCGGTTTATGAGTGTCAAACTTTATAATATCCACTTAAATTACATCGATTTTTATGGAAAAAAATTAATAATTTTTAAAAATTAATATACCTATAAAAATTTTTTAATGAAAAACATAATAAAAAAAACATTACTTCCAAAATAGAACTATATCAATAAGTCAATAAGTAAGACATAAATGGGCTCCAGGGACTATATAATGACCAAATTTAAGGTTTAGCAAACGTAAAAATCATATTTGTATGTTATAATCATAGTTTGTATAACTACGCTCCATAGCAAACATAAACTCTATGTTTGCTATGACTATTAATATGTATATTTCGGTATACATATACAAAAAAAATCAATTGTATAATCTGTTTCGGTATACATATACAAAAGAATCAATTGTATAATCTGTGTTTGTATAAAGCGAGGAAGAGAGAAAGACAAAAGAAAACTGGGTAGGGAAGATCTGTATTTGTATAATTATAAGTGTATATGACGAAAACATATGTATTTGTATTTGTATATACAATTTTCTCTCGCTTTATACAGACACAAACACAATTTATATATTTGTGTTTGTATAAAGTAAGAGAGGCGAGTGAGAGTGGCGAGCGAGATCTGGGAGAATGGCGAGCGAAATTCTCTGGGGGAGAAAGGCGAACGAAAAGTTATGTATATATACATTTTTTTTCTCACTTTATACAAACACAAACACATTTTATACATTTGTGTTTGTATAAATGTGAGAGAGGTGAGGGAGCCAGCGAGAAACGAGAGTGGCGAGTGAGAATTTCAGGGAGAGAGGCGAATGACAACAGTTTGCTACGAGTTACAATTAAATCAAACTGTGGTTATAACATTTAATTTGAATTAATAGTTTGCTATTATATACAATTTTATACATTTGTGTTTGTATAAATGTGAGAGAGGTGAGGGAGCCAGCGAGAAACGAGAGTGGCGAGTGAGAATTTCAGGGAGAGAGGCGAATGACAACAGTTTGCTACGAGTTACAATTAAATCAAACTGTGGTTATAACATTTAATTTGAATTAATAGTTTGCTATTTTATTCAATTTTTCCCTATATTATTGGTTATATATATTTTTTTTTAAAATTATCCAGAACATCAATAGTAAACACTAAACAGGAAAAGAAACTACAAAATAAAAGGCATGTATAGGATTATTATATCACAAATAACTTTTAGCAGTAATTAATTAACATCAAGAGAATAATTGTCGTTAAATATATTCTTTTAGAGCAATTACTAGTGACAAATACATTTTAGCATTCTTTGTAAATATTGCTAAAGTTTGTAGCAACACTGCATATGATGACGATTAACTAATATTGATAAAGCGTTCATTATTCTTTGTTAATGTGCATATTTATTGCTACTAAAAACTGTTTTTGTTGTAGTGTAAAAAGAAAAGTATGTGGTTTTCATATAGTAAAAAACGAACAAATGTTTATATTATAGTGTATATATATATCTATGATGTTTCTTGGAAGTTGAAGGGTTGCCATTTGCATGGATGGGCTATTTGGCTACACCTAATTGACGAATAGTTCTAAATTGAAACTATTTTAGTTTTCTTTGGTCAAGCAACGACCAAGTCAACTTCAAATGGAAAACTCTCCTTTGTTTTGTCTGAATTAACCTTTTTTCATGTGATTTTTCGGTGTTCGGAGAGTAGAGTTCATATTGAAACCTCAACTAAATTCGAATCGCACATTGCAAGGCCTATTCGAAAGTGAGGCTCTCAATAAAATTTTCTCCATACCTAATTCAAACTAGTTAATGTTGATTGGAAGAACCCTTTGTAGTTTGTATCTAGAGAGAAATCATCGAGGTTAAAACTATTTTTATGTTATCAACAAACTGCAAACAAGAATTTTTTAAAAAAAATACTGATTGATAGAGAAAATAAGTTGAAGCATTAATTTGTATTTCAGTAATATATACCACGTGTGACCTTTTCTTAGTTACGTATGAACTTTTGTTTCTCCTTGATAGTCCTAATAAAATCACCACACACTACTAATACAACTCACCCTAGCTCCCCTCACATCATCTCTATCATATACTTGTGCAACTTTATGTCCAACCAAGTGTTTTTTAATGATCGTGATGTTCGGATCAATTTTCAGTCAACTCGACTATTTTTATTGAGTAACTATTATTTTTCACCAACAACAAATACCAGATAACTATATCCACCAATGCTAGAGCAGATGGGAAAAGGTCACCTACATGTACTTCTCTCTCTGCTCAGATTTGAACCTTAGAACTTATGATCCTCTACCCACTTCATTGACTACTAGGCCGCACTCATGTCCAACAAATTGTTGATAATAGTTACTATTCCATGGTACAAACTATTAGTGGTGGTGAACAATATTTTCTATAAAAACATTTTTACAGTAACATCAACGTTAACTGATTTTACAGTTGGCCCATGGAACAACCTGTTTTGGTCTGCGTCCTTTGGACATGCCTTTTTGGTGCAATGGGCTGAAGTTTATGTAACCCATTTTGGGGCATCATGTGAACTGTGTGATAAGATTAAGGTTTGTGTCCTTTAAGGACACGCCCTTTTGGTGCATTGTAAGGATAAGATAACTAGAATAAAGGTGTAATGGCAAATAATATTTTTAGAAGAAAAACTCACCTGTTAACTTACCAATGCTTATTAGTGATATTGTTCGCTTTTGGCCCTTGCCCTGCATAACTTAATAACTTAACTTGTCATTTTGGTTTAATGAGTACTTCCCATGTCTACCTAAATTCACATGTGTTCTGGTAATGTGAAAGTTTGCCTAAAGTTTTACAACAAGAGGCCTAATTTTCTGGATTTTCAAGAATTAAGTAAAGCATTGAGTTCATTCTGCCCATAAAAATTTCCAACTTTAGATGTCAAGAACTTCCCTTTTTCTTTGCTTAACAGTAATGCAAGTATTGCGAGCCGTGAAAGCTAATGCTAATGCTTGCATCAGGGTAAGGTTGTTTACATCACACCTCTTGGGATGCAGCCCTTTGCTGAACCCCGCTAACGTGAGATGCTTTGGGCACAGGATTGCCTTTTTTTTATCGGTAGCTGCTTGATTGAAACACGAAAATACATGAAACACATGGTAAACTCACTTTTCCCTGAATTCCTAGTTAAAATGTTAGTACAACTTTTACCTTTCTTCTCCATTTCCCTTTCTCCTAGACAAACAAAGCAAGAAAGTAGACAACTTCATGAAACTTTATCCTATTATCAACAAGTTGACAGGTATATTTCAACTTTTTCTTCACCAAAATTTTCTTCCAAAAAAGAAAAGGAAGAGAGTTTTGTTTCGTTTTCTTTAGTATCTCGTAATCAGCAATAAGGGGTAGTATTCGTTGGGTATGCATATTTCGCAGCTAGCCACACCATGTAATGGTTTCAATGGAGGGGCGAGGAGACGGGGTTGAAAGAAGAATAACACAACTGTTCTCCATATAGCCAGTGAACAATGAATATCAATTTCTCGGATAAATCATGAATAAAGAAATAGTACATGGATATTAACTGATAGATATTCAGCAATTACCCCCTGAATTCCAAATTACCAACAAGTCAATGATCCTAAACTCAATTTCCACAAACATAAAAATGAGAAGAACACGTACTTGATTCTCAGCACACAATTGAGAGCAAGTACAATTCCCTATCTAAGCTTCTCCATAGAATTAGATCAGCTATAGACTAGCTTGAGAATCACAAGGAAACAACTGAACAGCACATTGCAACTGATAAAGAATAATCACCCGCGATGTTGGGAACACTAAGCTAAATGAAAGCTCCATTGGATTTTTAGATTTTTGCAACCCTTGGAACATCCACGGGGAACTGGTCAATCTCATCCATCCACGGGCTCTTCTCCTTGGCAGGATTAATTGATCGTAAAGCTTTCCAAACTGCACTGTTACATTTGAACCCTGAACCAAATGCTATTTGCCATGTTCGGTCTCCCCTCTTGATCCTTCCCTTAGCTTCCGAGTAAGCTAATTCGTACCAAAGGGAGCTGCTTGAGGTGTTTCCGAATCGATACAATGTCATCCTTGAAGGCTCCATATGCCAGTCAGTGAGTTGCAGATTTTTCTCTATTTCATCTAATACAGCTCTGCCACCGGCATGAATGCAGAAATGCTCAAAGGCCAATCTAAAGTCTGGGATATAAGGCTTGATCTTCATCTTCAACAATTTTCTTCCCACGAGCGTTGCAAAGAAAAGTAACTGCTCGGACATGGGAAGCACAAGAGGACCCAATGTAGTGATATTGGTTTTAAGAGCATCACCAGCTACTGCCATTAAATCCTTTGACAGCGATACTCCAACTTTTCCATTGGGATCTTCCATTTGGTAAACACAAGAAAAGCACTTGTCATCGGAACCTTTGTGAGTTCTGACAGTATGCACCAACTGGTACTTTGATCTTCTTCGCTCAGATCCTTTGTTGGAGAGCATTACAGCAGCACCTCCCATCCGGAATAAGCAATTTGGAAGGAGCATGGATTTCTCAGTCCCAAAATACCAGTTCAGGGTGATGTTTTCCATGCTGAGCACCAAAGCATAGGTATTGGGATGGACTTGAAGAAGATCTTTTGCAAGATCGATCGAGATCAAACCAGCACTGCAACCCATTCCACCCAGATTGTAGCTCACAATGTTTCCACGGAGCTTGTAATGGTTCACAATCATTGCAGACAATGAGGGTGTTGGATTAAACAAGCTGCAATTTACTACTAGAATTCCGATATCTTTTG